GTGGTGCGCCACGCATACGTTGCTGTGACGGTGACTCCGTTGTAGGTGAAACTCGCAGTCTTGCCGCAGTCAGCAGGGATATTTTCCCCGCCCACGTAAAAGCCACGGTTCAACGTGTCCTTGCTCAAGCTGGCGTCGCAGTCCGTGGTGGACGATGCAAACCAGTTCCAGCTCACAGTTTTAGGCACACTCGTAGCCGGTCCAGAGCTCGAAGGAGTGGGGGCCGATGATGAAGGAGCCACGCTGGAGCCTGCGGGGGGGTCGGTCCAAGGTGACTTGGGGGGGAAATCAGCCGTCTGGCACGACAAGTTGTCCCCGGGAGCTACGCCCAAGAGACTGCAGAACTTCTTGAAGCTGGCAATGCGGCTCTTTTCCGACTCGCGGTTGGGAGGGTTCAATCCGCATTCCAAGCCGCCGTTGATGATGAACGTGGTCTTAGCAAAGCCACCGGGAAGGCCCACCACCTTGTGGATGTTGCCGTTCCACTTGTCAACGTTCCAGTACCACAACGCACTCCACCACACCAAGTCGTAGTCGGTGGCGACCAGCTCAGGGCTCGCGACCAAGTCCAAGTTGACGGCCTTGCCAAAGTCCTTGTAGTTGTAGTTCCATGACAACTGGATCGGACCACGACCAAAGTACTGCTTGCCAGCCGCACACGGGTACTCGGCCGACTGCTGGCACATGGTGGACTTGTTGATCTCCTCAACGTAGCGAAGATCCCCAGACTCGAGCGAGATTTGACCAAGGAAGGCGGCGACTTCGCGACGATCGACATCAACGTTGCCAGTGTTGGCGAATTCGGGGTACTTGGCAGCGATGGCCACGAGGTTTTCGTACTTGTAGATGGGGAGGGCTTGAGGGAAGATTTGAAGGAACAATGACTTGGGCAAGATGTTGGTCAGGCCAGTGGACGGACCAGGCGCAGGGGCGTTCGTGGGTGTGGCGCTCGATGGCTTGGGGGCGGAAGGAGTAGGGATCGGGGCAGTAGTACTCGCTTTGGTCGTAGCTGGCGCGTACGTGGGTGCAGGGGCGTACGTGGATGTAGGGGCACTCGACGAAGGGGTCGGCGGCTGGGCGCCAGCACCACACCACTTGAAAGCAGAAGCGCTGTTACATTGGCCTTGGCTCCATCCGACAAAACAAGCGTTGGTGGGGGCGTAGTAGCAGTTTGTGCAGCTGCCGCAGTCGCTGACAGGGGGCGTCACAGGTGCCTGGGTAGGGTGTAAAGGGGCGACCGTCGTAGCGGGGGCTCCGGTGGGGTCGACAGGGGAAGCCGTGGATACCGGAGCTCCAGTCGTGATGATCGGCTTGGCCGTGGTGCCGGGGGCTTGAGTGGGCTTTGAGGGCTGGGGAGCGGACCCGCAAGTGTTGCTGATGTACACGTCGGCGCAGTTCCAAAAGTGCTCTTGGCCACGGGCGTCCACTCCAGGGTTGTTCCAGCCCGTGTAATGCCAGCGAAGCACGCAGTGCGAGTCGCCGTCGCACGTGACGCCGCTGGGAAGGACGTACTGGATGTCGAAGAACCCGTTGCCGGGCGGCACTTGCCACTCCTTCAACCCCGACGGCTCGGCCAGCGCTTGAAAGCACTCTTCCGTTTCCTTGTCGTTCAAGCTGTTCAGCTTGCACAGACCGAATTCGAAGAACCCCTTGTGGTTGGCCGTCAACTGGACTTGGACGCCGATGGTGGACCCCGGGGCGTAGCACGCTCCGATGACCTTCTCGCGATGTTGGGGGAAGCGACCGTACGTGCCGCCGGTTTCGTGTTCGCGGACGCCCGTGTACGGGTCGCCACAGATGCCGTTCTTGCCGCCGCTGGTCTGGCCAATGCCGCCAGCGCTGAGGCCGTGGTCGCTGTAGTTGATGGGAACAAGACCCTTGAATTGGGGCAACTTGCCAATGTAGCCACGGTGCGGAGGCAACACCAGGCGGCCGTGGGCATCGGCGAGATGTGCGATGGCAGCCAAGGCGAAGAAGTGGGCAGTGAA